GTGACTAGTTGACTATCAAAATAATCGTTTGTGGCAGCCCTACTTAGGATAGTTTAATTATTATTATTATTCTATTTTCTTTCATTCCCAGACCTGGAAATTTCCAAGTGAGTGAGCCAAGCAAACATTTTCTCTTAGATTATTATGTACAAAGAGGCCTGTGTGTTTGCAGTCTTCTGCCCCAGCTGTCAACGTCAAATGACTTGTTGGTGTGTTTAAATATGGCGACGATTAAAAGAGTAATGTTGTTTTCCTGCTGCGATAAACCAAGCGTGACCTCAGCCATTTTTAATGCCTGCTTCAATCTTTGTCTCGACAGAACAACACGTCATGGAGACCGCAGTCCTGTCAGGAGTGTACCTGCTATGGTGATGTGGCCATCTGTGAGCCCACCCACTGTCCCAACCCCCACTGTGACCTGCAGAGGGTAAGATATTTTACATTTGACAAATATGCACTTTTTCTTTTTGTCCCCTGTAATTATTATGTCCAGGCGAGCAATCAATCAGTTTACCTAGTGATGTTATCTAATGTTGTTTGTTACATGGCAGCTTTTGCTTCTGGTTTTTGGGTTATGGCTCATTTATATTAGAGCGAAAATAAGACAACAACTTCCCTGAAGCTATGAAAAATTGGGTCTTTTCGGGTGATTGCATTGAATTTTCCACAGTCAGAGACAATCGGAAGTAGTTGTAGCAAATAGCTGCTCGGTCAAAGGTTGAACTTGCGACACCCACAACCTCTGGAGGATCACTCTTTATAACAAGGCGATTGTAGGATCGCCTGTTGGGAGACTAACTATGTTCAAACAACTGCAGTCTGACTCAGACTGTTAGCAGAAATAAGCAAACGTTATTAACATTATTATATTGGTTTGAAGTCTTTAATTTGTGCAAGTAACCAATGCTCGCTCATTTATTCAGCTTAAAATCTATGCTAACTTTAAAATTGTGAAGTTGCTAGTTCGCATGACTGAGGACTGAGAAGACATCAAACATTGACATTTCTTTAAAATCTCAGAGATACAAACAGGTGTTAGTGCCGTGGTGCAGTGAGATTTCAGTAAAGGATAAATGATGAGGACCCCACGGCAGTCATACTTGAGGGTTTTTTAAACTTCTAACAAAGTAGTTTTGGTGCATAAACAGAAGTAAACAGAAATTCAATGACATGAATACAACATGGGTTGTATTCAGCGGCTGAGAGGAGGCAGCAGAAACACTTAGCATGACAGTGAAAAACTAACAGTGACACTGGTACTGGGAATTCGGCTGCTGTCTTATCATACATGAAGCGAGCAGTGTTCAAATGTTACTTTGAGTTAGGGAGGTGAAGAAATGAGGTTCATCTCAGTCCATATGTCCATGTGCAAGCATGTTTCTCCCACACTCTACAGAGGGCAGTGGCACATACTTGTGACATCGTTAAACATTAGCTTATGTTGTCTTAAAGAGAGACCACACAATTGTTACCGTTTCAACCTGTTCATAAATCTCCCAAATGCGGCACAAATCAGTCTTCGAGCCATTAAACTACGTTGGTTACCCTTTTTTTTTAGGTACGAAAGCAGCATCCCTCCAATTCAAATTCATATGAAGCCCTAACTTTGTCTTAAAGTTAGGATTGGTCATTGCCCATCCACATATTGACAAACGTTATTTCAGCTGTCATCTCTACAAGCTGCTGAATTTCATCTACATAGTTGCCGGGTCAATGCTGGTCTTTTCCTGTGTGCATGGCCTTTGAGATGTAAAGCACCCTGTGCTGGAATGCAATTCATCAAGCAGACACAAACTAGGTAGACGAGCAGTATAAAAAGATCAGGAGAAACATCCAGAAAGTTAAAAAGAGCCGTCTGTGGGTCTTAATGTGACGAGACTGAAAATAGACAGTAATATGAAAATAGTCAGACTGTGTTTTCCTCCTCGTTTATAATATTATATTGCAATAGCAGTGCACAGTGCATGGCCACATTTATGTGTTGTGAAAAGGCTCTCAGTATTGCAGAGTCTTACACAACAAGTGAAGATTTCACCTCTGTCAGTGCGCCCCAGGGTTGCTGTGGCTACAATGTAGCTGCCATCACCAGTGTGTGAATGGGTGGATGACTGGATGTGTAAAGCGCTTTGGGGTCCTTAGGGACTAGAAAAGCGCTATACAAATACAGGCCATTTACCATTTACCAACATTTTGCATTTCCAAATGATCACAAATGGAATTATTTCTTGATAGCGATTTAAATCCGTGGCCTTGGAAGTTCAGGAGGTTCACATTTGCTTTGTGATATTTTTATTTCCTTTCATCTCCTTCTTTACAAGCACAAATCCCCTTTCAAGGACCTGTTAAATCACTTTCCTTTGTGCGTTGCCCTTACAACAAGAATTCACGAGCTGGCAGACTATTGTGCAGCCGAGTCTGGCAATTGCACCATTTAATTTGGCACAATGACGAATGTTCAGTGAGCGTTCGTTCCAGCACCTTTTCTTTGGGCCCATTTTAATTCACATGAACACATTGTCAAAAATGTTTTCTCCCGTGCTTCTTCTCAGACGTGATCTAAACATCAAGCCTGCAGTGACGCCATCAAATTCAATCCCAACTCTGAGCTAAGGCAACAATCGATGTCTAATGAATTCCAGTCTGCTGCCTGGCAATCCAGTGTTAATTAAAAATTAGTCATCATGCTCAGCGAGCTGTGTGCTCCCTCTCCATTTAAAAACCTCTTGTAATGTGACTTCCTCTCACCTACACTGATTAAACAAAAAAAAGCTTCAGAGATTTTATCATGTGACAGTCTCCGATTATGAGGCTTTCTTTTGAAATCCAAAGCCATTATCTGCCAGCTTAACCCCCCCCCTCCTACTTTGACATTCCTAAAACGCATAACTAAATGCCCGCAACGTTCGACACTGTGGGTTAATCAGCTTTCCTCGATCTGCAAAGGAGTCCTCTCACTGTCTTTTAAAGCCGCATATTGTGTAGCGTGAACTGACGGCGGATGATGACACTGTGGCTTTTATCCCTTTTAAGCCGCTGTTATCAAATCGTGTGGAAAAAAAAAATTTTTTTCAGGTAAAATAACACGAGTTTGCTGATGCTACTACAGGACCTTTTGTTGAATAAATTTTGATTTGAAACCTTTTTAAAATGTTAATGACTAATAGAAAGTGTGGGGCATGAACGTTTTTTTAGCTTCCAAAGGAGGTCAGAAAATGTTTGAGAGCCTGTCTATGAAATTGCAAAGAAGAAAAAACCCCAGAATATGTTCTACTCAGTCTATAATCTGGAAATTATTCATGTTTTCATTCTAAATCTTTCTAAAACTATTAACAGTTTTTACCATTGGGAGCGGTAATAGTTTTTAAAAAACATTTTGTTCACCTTTTATGACTCGGATAACAGTGAGAGGAAATGTTTTCCATTTATTAATGCAATCATTCTGACCCTTTTATAACAAAGTGCTAGAATTGAAAGCAGACATCAGCTGTATCAGGTTTTTGATCTTAGTAGTGCTGAGATTGAGATATTTCTTAGTTGTATCTCACTGGCACAGCGGGTAACGAGGAGGCGACACAGCATGTGGAAATATGAGCGTCTGACTGCATGGCGCCAAACGCGACTGGGAACATGTGAAGCTTTTTGTGCTTCACATGAACCTGAACATAATTCATTTGACAAAAACGAGGACAATAAACAACCTCCGAATAGAAACTCCAAGGGTCCCTGACTCAGAGAGCATGACATCAGTCGTTTAGACAGATGTACTTTTGCACAATTGAAAGATAACCAAGAAAACATCGTGGCATTTTTTTTGTTTTATGTTATTTTACTTTATTGTATAGTATGAAGGCATTTTTAGATATGTAAGTTTGTTAACGGATACAGGAGCTTATAAAGACGATTAATAGGACGGCCACAGCATTCAGGAAACAGAGAAATGAGTTTCATACATTCTGAATGTGTCTCTTAAAACGCCTCGAGATGCCTGGATAGCAGATAATTTATTATCGCAGCATCTCAGTGCTACAGCGAGCGATTGTGAGGTTGACGTGCACGTGTGTATTTCATTTGTATTTATGATTATTGTGCTTATAAGAGGATGACAAAAGCCTGCGTTGCCCAAACCTGCAACACTAATTAATGAGCTCGCCTCTCATCTTGAGCACTGCTGCCAAAGAATGACACGCCTGTCTGTTGCTCCCATGGCCACATGATCTTCCTGTGAGATACGGGACTCGGCTGCACTCTCGACTTTTTGAAGCTGGTTGGTAGCATCACTGCTGAATTAATCACATTGAGAGGAGCTCACAGTTCAGCTGCAGTTTGTCAACTCAGAGCAAAGACGTGTGAAGAGCTCAAGATTGAAGTGCTGCTTTCGTAACTGCCGGCCTCCAATGTGCCCACGGTTCATGAGACAGATGGAGCTGCACAGTAGAGACTTTGAAATACAGTCAGGAAACTCAGTTAAATCAGTGAATTATGCTCGAAATCCAAGGTGGTGCTGGTTAAAATGCTGGTTAAAGTCTGACTTCATGTTTATAGAGTGCACTAGGTCTTAAAATACAGTGGCCTAAATGATGAAGGCTTCCCAAATGTTACTGAACCTGCTCTAAAACGTCTCAGCAGATGCACGCATCGGTCACAGCATACAATGTCCTCTTCAGTGAATTGGCAAATCTTCCAAATTGTTGTTGGGAAAGTGGCATTTTCCCAGCAAATAGACTAATTCTGTGTAAACAATTAACTGGAAAAACTGCCATTAATACAAAATAATCTTGATACTATTCCTAAAGAAATGACAGCGTGTGTGCAGAGCCATTTATCTTATAGTCATGCCGGGATTTGCTCTTCAGTGTTTTAGAGAAGGCTATGTGCTGTAATTGCCTTAACTATTGAACAAAAGCATCACTCTGGTGACAAATGAACTCTTGTTCTGTTTAATTCTAAACCGTCTGCTTGTTTGCACCAATAAAACTCAAATTGGATCAAATTCAGTTATGGTGATTAAATTTTAAGCAGTCGACAGAAAATCTTGGGGGGACTCGGGGGACTGAAACCAAACAAAAAAAGATGAAAAGTTCGGGAGAGGAGACACCGAATCAAGAATCCAGATCTATGAAAACATCCAGGAGCTTCATCTCATAATGTTTATTTTATTTGCACAATTCAGCCATTGTGACAGATGAAGTTTGAAGACGCTGTTAAAATTCACTTCGGGGGCTTGTTTCTACTTTTAAATTTTGTGTGCTGCTGGGTGATTAATGGCGAGCTTCAGCTAAGATATGAACTCTGTCTTTTTCTTTATTTGGGGAGAACTATTACCTGCTGCACAGCTCAATTTCCATCTATTTGTTTCGCCCACTTGTTATTTCTACACTGATTTGTCATTTTTCCGGGTCTTTGTATGCAATTTTGTCTTTCATGCTGCTTCAGTGTAGCTCTATTTGATTTTTCCCCCACCATTTTTCATTTGGAAAAACACACTCTGAAAGCTCTGGGGGATCTTTTTTTTCTTCCCTTTCACAAATCGCACTCACCTCCTCCTTTTTCTTTTCCATATCACTTCCATAAACATCACCTAAACCTCTAACAGGCTCTGCGTCCGGCTCTCACCGCTTTTACGTTCTCTTCCTGCTGCACAGCCGGACTCAATTAGTGTGAATGGGCAGCGCAGTTAGAAGACTCTGTGGCGAATCTGTATTGCATATGTTTTACTACCTCCATTCCACATGCTGTGTGCTCCTGATAGTCTTCATTGACTCATTATTCTGTGCACTGATGTGTTGCATGTCAGTTGATCTTCATGGAAATTGAGAGGCTGTGTATTTAAAATGTGATGTGTCCATGCTGGTTAAGTCATTTCCTCTTTCTGATTGAGTTTCTGAGTGTGTTTTCTCCTTTTGTCAGTCTATTCATGTTTGTGTCTTTTAAAAAGGGCGAGCATTTGAGGATCCCCACCAACAAGTGCTGTCCAGAGTGCGCCTCCTCATCCCAGGGCTCCTGCCAGTACGAAGGAGTCACTTATGCAGTAAGTGATTATAAAAATGGCTGCTTCTCTTTCACTATACAAATTATTCAGGGTTGAAATGTTTACACCAGGATGCAGCAGCTATAGATCAGTTTGCCAGAAGTTTATTAAATCATTCTTTTCCTTTTCCTAAATCATCCCTTTTCCTGCTTCAACATGGCACAAACTCAGGTTCACAAAGAAAGTGACAATCGGTTTGCACAGACGATTGACCTCATCAACTTTCATTTGGGATCAACCGACAGGTTGACCGCAACCTGGGCCAACATTAGCATTTGATGCTTTTATGGTTAAATGGGGGGAAACCCCTGCAGCCAGGCTCTAAAGCTGTGTGGAAAACCTAAAATTAGGAAAATGAAGTCTGCAAAAGCAGTGCATTATTTGTTGGAATGGTTGAACTGAGAGCGAGCCATTTATTTAGGCTGATGACAACAATACGAAAAGGCAAAAGCTAAAATTTGAAAACACTAGGGCTAGAAAACAGCAAAGCAAGGGGAGCAGACCCTGTGACAAAGGCTACGTCCACACGTACACGGGTATTTTTGAAAATGGAGATTTTCCGTTTTCGTTTTAAAAAATAATCCCGTCCACACGTAAACGCTGCTAGGAACATG